GTGACTTGTTCTATAGATTTACCTTCTATGGTCACATTTATACCAGGGGAATTTTTTAAGTGATGCATTGATCCTAACACCATGCATTTGGTCTTTCCAGGATTAATAACCAATTTATTTTCATTCATCCATCCCTCAATTGATTTCAAATCTTCTTGTATGTTTTCATTTAAATTAGCAAGGTTAGTGTCAGACAGATAAATGGTTGAATCGTCTGCATAAAGGGCAATAGTGGCACGTTTCAAAATACACGGCAATTCATTTGTAAAGATTGAAAATAAAAGCGGCCCAAGACAGCTTCCTTGAGGCACTCCACAACTCAGTGTCTTTTTTCCAGAATAACTGCCGTTAAATAATACAATAAACTCTCTGTTAGTTAAATAACTTTTGACCCACTTGATAGCAGAATTTTCAAAACCATAGCAAGTTAATTTATTCAGTAATAAATCATGATCAAGTAAATCAAACGCTGCACTCAAATCTAGCAATACTGTCCCAATAATGTTTCTTTTTTCCATTTCATGCATCCAATCATCAGTTATTTGAGCTAAGGCTGATGTTGTGGAGTGCCCTTTCTTATAAGCATGCTGATACATCGAGTTTAATCCATTTCTACAAAAATATACATTGATCTGATCATAGACTATTTTTTCCATTATTTTGCTCATAATTGGCAAAATACTAATTGGGCGACTGTTCTTTCCAGAAAAGGGCTCTTTGCTGTTTTTAGGTAGAGCCACAATTTTTGCTATTTTCCAATCATTAGGACAAATACACTTTTCTAAACTCAAATTAATTATGTGACAAATAGGCAGAGCAACCACATCATGCACCAGTTTCAGCAGCTTCACATCAATTTCATCAATGCCCGAAGGCTTGAGTTTCATGAGTTTTAGAACATTTTCAACAACGGTCGTACTCACTTTTTCAAACCTAAATTCACACAATTTACCACCCATTATTACATCTTTGATTGAGGTCCAAGATGAATGGGAATTTGACTTGGGAGTTATGTTGTTACGTAAAACTGTAACTTTATTTATGAAATATTCACTAAGATAATTTGAAATATCAATGGGCTTAGTCAGAAAAGATCCACCCACTTCCAAAAATGTTGGTACAGGCTTGACTTTCCTTCTCATCAGTTCATTTAATGTATTCCATATTTTTTTACCATCTGATTTTATATCAGCGAACTTATTTCCATAATAAGCTTCTCTCTTGGATCTGTTTAATTTGGTCACATAATTCCTCAGCTGCTTGTACTGGTTCCACACTGTGCTGCTGCCTGATGTGGATGCTTCTTCCTTTAGTTCATCTCTTTGCTTCATAATTTCTTTAAGTTCAGGATCTACCCAGGGGGATGCTACATTTCTAACTGTCATTTTTCTCAATGGAGCATTAATGGAGTGTATTAATGATTGGCATGATTAGACTAGTGAAAACCTCCAAAGCTCTATTCGGATCATCCTCTAATGAAACTTGGGACCAGTTCACTTTCATGATTTCTTCCTTAAAATGTATTTCATTGAATGTTTTATAACTCCTTTTGATTATAATTTTCTGCCCTGCTTTAGGGACTTTAGTATTTCTATTTATTATAATTAAATTATGGTCACTAAACCCAACGCAAATTGAAATAGCTTTTGAGCATAGCTCAACTGAATTTGTAAACATTAAATCAATACAAGTGGCTGATTTTGTCCCATCTGTTTTATAAGCCAATCTTGTTGGTTTAATCACTACTTGTGACAAATTACAAGTGTCTGAAATGGACATTAATTTATTTTTCAAAGGACAATCCTTTGTGATCCAATCTATGTTTAAATCTCCTACAAAATAAATTTCCTTATTTAGGTCACAAACTTTGTCTAACATATAACAGATCTGATCTAGATAAACTATGTGAGCATTTGGAGGTCTATAGCAACAGCCAATCAGAAAAGGCCTAATGTGAGGTACCTGCACTTCCAGCCACAGTGCTTCCACTCCAACACAACCCAGATCAGATCGGATCTTCACTGGGATTTGATCTTGCACATAACATCCCACTCCGCCCCCGTGTATGTTTCTGTCAAGCCTATATAAGTTATAACCATTTACATGAACGAGGGAACTATCAATGTTTCCATCCAAATGTGTCTCAGATAAAGCTAGTATATGTAAATTGTAACTCTCTAAAATCCTGCTTATGTCCTGAACCTTATTTCTCAAACTACAGATATTCAGATGGGCAATTTTCAAACCTTTATTTGATAACACGTTATCCCTCACCATAAGAATTTGTATTTGTTTTGAAACTTTTCATCAAAAATAAGATGGAGCTGCAAACTAAACAAGGCATGTGCCTCCTGTACTGGCTCCCCCGCTCCCAAAAATTATAATTGTAAACCGCTTTGAGACTCCGATGTGCAGTGAAAAGGCGGTATATAAATAAAGATTACTTACTACATTCTTACATGTGCAGAAGCCTGTACTTTTCCACTACTTGTTTTGACTATCTCTGCTGGCACTGTGGCAGCTGCTGATTGGAGGTCTCTGTTTCTCCTGAGTATATTACAACTTGCTGTCGTAACATCCTTTGTTTGTTGTGCTGTCTCTACCATTGACAATAAAACATGTCTTCTGTCTGAATGAAAAACACGATCCCAGACTTTGTCATCTTCTTCAGGTGGTGGAAGGATGTGGGCCTTGTCTGTAACATCTCAGTGTTTTCCAAGCCAAAACTGAGAAACCTCAAGAGAAACCATGCATCTGGATCAGCACTTGGACAATCTGCACTGCCCCTGATTCCAGTCAGGCTGTGAGCTGCTGAGACATGGACAATACCATCGTCCTCTTTTGCATGGACATCATTTGGAACAATTGGATTACACAATTTGGACATGATTTGGAACAATGCTTCACAGTGTTATGAAATCTCACAAGATGAAACCAACAAACCAATCACTGAGCAGTGACTCTCCTCGGTGGGACAGAACCTTCTTAGTTCTTTTACACCAGTCAACATTTAAACCTAAATCCAACAAGATAAAGTCATCTCCTGCTGCGGTGTAATCTCTGTCACATCTGCAGCCCATGTCCAACCAGGAAGTAGCGTTGAAGCTAGTCTAAAGTGACTCTGGTGGTTGTGCTAACGTCACATGAAGCAGCAGAGCGATAGGACAGGCTGAATGCAGAAGTGAACTCAGTATGTAGTAAATGTGAAATACCCACTCATGCTGTCACACATGGACACACACAGTAGACACAAGCTAGCTCTGCTTTCAGGAGCAGTTTTACTGAGCTTTCACTTTCAATATACTCAGTTGTCCATTATTGAAAATAGTTGTCGGTCGATAGATTCATCCATTCTATATTTCATGGTTGGATATTTTGTTTTTTATGTCAAGTAAAAGAGTGTGCTAATATGATCCCAATCCAGTGAGATGTAAAAACGTGTCTGTGATCGTCTGTAAATAAAGACAGAATATTCTCAGCTAAAAGGTTCTAGGTTTTAACTCATGTGCCAAACTCGGGTCAAAATTACCCGCCAAAATGATTTAAAATTATCCTAAGTGGGGGTTTTTTTCAAGCTGATTGTTGATGATTTTTTCTGACTTGACCAGCCCTGGGTCATTCAGATTAAAAGTAGAATAAAAATAGCCCAAATTAGGGTCTAACAGGATCTAAATCAGATGGGTGCAGTTGTAAAAAACATAAAAATCTAGCTTTAAAAAAATATATTTAGGGTAGTGCTGAAGGTCCAGGACAGTCACGCCGGTCGTCCACCCCTTATGGACCAATGGCTCTGTGTGTTTTTATCATTTATTATTGTGTTTAGACAGAATGATGCCCTGGCCAACATTCTGTCTAAAGTTGTAGAATATATTTTCTGAACAGACTTGTTACATTTATCACTGATACACACAATAATTTTTTTTTTTTAAACAAATCATGGAACTGATATGTGAATTTTTTTCACTGAAAGAATCATTATGTATGTAAGTAAAAATTCCACTTTTTTACATGTTTTTCCAATGCTTCTAAGGCTTTTGAGCTTGTGAATCACAGGAAATTGTTTAAGAAATTGACTTTATTATTGAAACAATAATAGCTCCATACTCAAGCAGCTGTGCCTAAATATCTCATCCGATGTCTCTCTTATTGGTATGCTCATCAGACGATGCAGGTCAAATGGTACAAATGTGTGTCAGAACCATTTCAGACCTTTTCCCTGTGCTCTTTCATTTCTATATGTTTGACATGTCCAGGCAGCTGAATATGTGCAAAACTGTCTGTATGGTTGGTGGTGTTTTAATGAATCACTTAATGTATGCGGACGACCTGGTGGTGTTTAGCCCGAGTTCAGCCGCTCTCCAGCAGTTGTTGAATGTTTGCTCTGAGTTTGGGGAACTTCAGAATGTAAAATACAACTCCACTAAGAGTGTAATCATGATCTGCCGGACTAAGGAGGACCGATCACTGAGGTTTCCTGACTTTAGGCTCTCAGGGAACATATTGACCGTGTGTGATGCGGTCAAGTACCTCTGTCACATCATAACTGACCGTTTGACCGATGACGATAGAAATAGATTCGAAAAGAAATAGGTACATTTTCATTTCACCATGAAGCACCTCTTGACTGGAATAATCTCCCTGCCTCTATCCAATCTATAACCTCCTATAATATGTATAGAAATGCCCTTCGGTCTTATCTACAGACGCCTTGTAATTGTTTTTGAAATGCGTCTTCTACAATGTTCTACTCTTAACTGTTTTTGTTTACTATAGAGCTGTGTGAGTGTCGGTGTGTGTGTCTTTGTTGTCGCTTTTTTTTTTTTTTCATCCTGTCTTTTTTATTTTTACTTCATTATTATTTTTTGGTTCTGAGTCTGTACTGCTGTTTTCTGTCTTGTGTTTTTGCTTCTTGTAATTCTTTTGAGGACCCTCTTGTAAACGAGATGATGAGGACAGCAGAGGACAGTAGAGGACAAAGGACAGTAGAGGAAATGAGGACATCAGAGGACAGTAGAGGACAGAGGACAGTAGAGGACAGAGGACAGTAGAGGACAGCAGAGGACAGAGGACAGCAGAGGACAGAGGACAGTAGAGGACAGAGGACAGCAGAAGACAGACGACAGCAGAGGACAGAGGACAGTAGAGGACAGCGTGAGGACAGAGGACAGCAGAGGACAGTAGAAGACAGAGGACAGCAGAGGACAGTAGAAGACAGAGGACAGCAGAGGACAGTAGAGGACTGAGGACAGTAGAGGACAGCAGAGGACAGAGGACAGTAGAGGACAAAGGACATTCGAGGACAGAAGACAACAGAGGACAGAAGACAGAGGACAGTAGAGGACAGAGGACAGTCGAGGACAGAGGACAGTAGAGGACAGTAGAGGACAGCGTGAGGACAGCAGAGGACAGAGGACAGTAGAGGACAGAGGACAGCAGATGACAGTAGAGGACTGAGGACAGTAGAGGACAGCAGAGGACAGTAGAGGACAGAGGACAGTAGAGGACAAAGGACAGTCGAGGACAGAAGACAGAGGACAACAGAGGACAGAAGACAGAGGACAGTAGAGGACAGAGGACAACAGAGGACAGTAGAGGACAGCAGATGACAGAGGACAGTAGAGGACAGTAGAGGACAGAGGACAGTAGAGGACAGCGTGAGGACAGCAGAGGACAGTAGAGGACAGATGACAGCAAAGGACAGTAGAGGACAGAGGACAGCAGAGGACAGTAGAGGATAGAGGACAGTAGAGGACAGAGGACAGTAGAGGACAGAGGACAGCAGAGGACAGTAGAGGACAGAGGACAGTAGAGGACAGAGGACAGCGGAGGACAGTAGAGGACAGAGGATAGTAGAGGACAGAGGACAGAGGACAGTAGAGGACAGAGGAGCTGGGGTATGTAACTTTAAAGCTGGGGTCTGTAACTTTAAAGCTGGGGTAAGTAACTTTAAAGCTGGGGTCTGTAACTTTAAAGCTGGGGTATGTAACTTTAAAGCTGGGGTATGTAACTTTAAAACTGGGTTATGTAACTTTAAAGCTGTTGTAACTTTAAAGCTGGGGTCTGTAACTTTAAAGCTGGGGTCTTTAACTTTAAAGCTGGGGTATGTAACTTTAAAACTGGGTTATGTAACTTTAAAGCTGGGGTATGTAACTTTAAAGCTGGGGTATGTAACTTTAAAGCTGGGGTATGTAACTTTAAAGCTGGGGTCTGTAACTTTAAAGCTGGGGTCTGTAACTTTAAAGCTGGGGTATGTAACTTTAAAGCTGGGGTATGTAACTTTAAAACTGGGTTATGTAACTTTAAAGCTGTTGTAACTTTAAAGCTGGGGTCTGTAACTTTAAAGCTGGGGTATGTAACTTTAAAACTGGGTTATGTAACTTTAAAGCTGGGGTATGTAACTTTAAAGCTGGGGTATGTAACTTTAAAGCTGGGGTATGTAACTTTAAAGCTGGGGTCTGTAACTTTAAAGCTGGGGTATGTAACTTTAAAACTGGGTTATGTAACTTTAAAGCTGTTGTAACTTTAAAGCTGGGGTATGTAACTTTAAAGCTGGGGTATGTAACTTTAAAACTGGGTTATGTAACTTTAAAGCTGTTGTAACTTTAAAGCTGGGGTATGTAACTTTAAAGCTGGGGTATGTAACTTTAAAGCTGGGGTCTGTAACTTTAAAGCTGGGGTCTGTAACTTTAAAGCTGGGGTATGTAACTTTAAAGCTGGGGTCTGTAACTTTAAAGCTGGGGTTTGTAACTTTAAAGCTGGGGTATGTAACTTTAAAACTGGGTTATGTAACTTTAAAGCTGTTGTAACTTTAAAGCTGGGGTCTGTAACTTTAAAGCTGGGGTATGTAACTTTAAAACTGGGTTATGTAACTTTAAAGCTGTTGTAACTTTAAAGCTAGGGTATGTAACTTTAAAGCTGTTGTAACTTTAAAGCTGTTGTAACTTTAAAGCTGGGGTTTGTAACTTTAAAGCTGGGGTATAATAATAATAATAATTTCAGTGATACACAACACTCAACACTAACATAGTGACAGTGGCTCAGTTGGTAGAGCATTGGCCTGTGAGCCAGAAGGTCGTGGGTTCCAGCCCACCATGGAACCTTTTCCACCGACTCCCACTGATGTCTGCTCTTGTGTGTCCTTGGGCAAGACACTTAACCCACGTTGCCTGAAGCCCCCGCTGAAAGATCAAGGCTTCTGTGGACTCAGCACCTGCAGGAGGATCAGTGAGCGGCTGGTGCTCTGACTGCCACCCCCGACCCAGAAATGGATTAAGGGGAAGTGGATGGATGTCAGCTCTATTGAAAAGGGCCCTAATCTGTCATCGTTAAAGGGCCCTAATCTGTCATCGTTAAAGGGCCCTAATCTGTCATCACTAAAGGGCCCTAATCTGTCATCGTTAAAGGGCCCTAATCTGTCATCACTAAAGGGCCCTAATCTGTCATCGTTAAAGGGCCCTAATCTGTCATCGTTAAAGGGCCCTAATCTGTCATCATTAAAGGGCCCTAATCTGTCATCGTTAAAGGGCCCTAATCTGTCATCACTAAAGGGCCCTAATCTGTCATCACTAAAGGGCCCTAATCTGTCATCATTAAAGGGCCCTAATCTGTCATCATTAAAGGGCCCTAATCTGTCATCACTTAAGGGCCCTAATCTGTCATCATTAAAGGGCCCTAATCTGTCATCATTAAAGGGCCCTAATCTGTCATAATTAAAGGGCCCTAATCTGTCATCATTAAAGGGCCATCATCTGTCGTCATTAAAGGGCCCTAATCTGTCATCATTAAAGGGCCCTAATCTGTCATCACTTAAGGGCCCTAATCTGTCGTCATTAAAGGGCCCTAATCTGTCATCATTAAAGGGCCCTAATCTGTCATCATTAAAGGGCCCTAATCTGTCATCATTAAAGGGCCCTAATCTGTCGTCATTAAAGGGCCCTAATCTGTCGTCATTAAAGGGCCCTAATCTGTCGTCATTAAAGGGCCCTAATCTGTCATCACTAAAGGGCCCTAATCTGTCATCATTAAAGGGCCATAATCTGTCGTCATCAAAGGGCCCTAATCTGTCATCATCAAAGGGCCCTAATCTGTCATCATCAAAGGGCCCTAATCTGTCATCATTAAAGGGCCCTAATCTGTCATCATTAATGGGTCTAATCTGTCATCATTAAAGGGCCCTAATCTGTCATCATTAAAGGGCCCTAATCTGTCATCATCAAAGGGCCCTAATCTGTCATCATTAAAGGGCCATAATCTGTCATCATCAAAGGGCCATAATCTGTCATCATCAAAGGGCCCTAATCTGTCATCATCAAAGGGCCCTAATCTGTCATCATTAAAGGGCCCTAATCCGTCATCATTAAAGGGCCCTAATCCGTCATCATTAAAGGGCCGTAATCTGTCATAATTAAAGGGCCCTAATCTGTCATCATTAAAGGGCCCTAATCTGTCATCATTAATGGGCCTAATCTGTCATCATTAAAGGGCCCTAATCTGTCATCATTAAAGGGCCCTAATCTCTCATAATTAAAGGGCCATAATCTGTCATCAAAGGGCCCTAATCTGTCATCATCAAAGGGCCATAATCTGTCATCATTAAAGGGCCCTAATCTGTCATCATTAAAGGCCCCTAATCTGTCATCATTATTGGGCCTAATCTGTCATCACTAAAGGGCCCTAATCTGTCGTCATTGAAGGGCCCTAATCTGTCATCATTAAAGGGCCCTAATTTGTCATCATTAAAGGGCCCTAATCTGTCATCATTAAAGGCCCCTAATCTGTCATCATTAATGGGCCTAATCTGTCATCATTAAAGGGCCCTAATCTGTCATCATTAAAAGCCCCTAATTTGTCATCATTAATGGGCCTAATCTGTCATCACTAAAGGGCCCTAATCTGTCGTCATTGAAGGACCCTAATCTGTCATCATTAAAGGGCCCTAATTTGTCATCATTAAAGGGCCCTAACCTGTCATGATTAAAAGCCCCTAATTTGTCATCATTAATGGGCCTAATCTGTCATCACTAAAGGGCCCTAATCTGTCATCATTAAAGGGCCCTAATCTGTCATCATTAAAGGGCCCTAATCTGTCATCACTTAAGGGCCCCAATCTGTCATCATTAAAGGGCCCTAATCTGTCATCATTAAAGGGCCCTAATCTGTCATAATTAAAGGGCCCTAATCTGTCATCATTAAAGGGCCATCATCTGTCGTCATTAAAGGGCCCTAATCTGTCATCATTAAAGGGCCCTAATCTGTCATCACTTAAGGGCCCTAATCTGTCGTCATTAAAGGGCCCTAATCTGTCATCATTAAAGGGCCCTAATCTGTCATCATTAAAGGGCCCTAATCTGTCGTCATTAAAGGGCCCTAATCTGTCGTCATTAAAGGGCCCTAATATGTCATCATTAAAGGGCCCTAATCTGTCATCACTAAAGGGCCCTAATCTGTCATCATTAAAGGGCCATAATCTGTCGTCATCAAAGGGCCCTAATCTGTCATCATCAAAGGGCCCTAATCTGTCATCATCAAAGGGCCCTAATCTGTCATCATTAATGGGTCTAATCTGTCATCATTAAAGGGCCCTAATCTGTCATCATTAAAGGGCCCTAATCTGTCATCATCAAAGGGCCCTAATCTGTCATCATTAAAGGGCCATAATCTGTCATCATCAAAGGGCCCTAATCTGTCATCCTCAAAGGGCCCTAATCTGTCATCATCAAAGGGCCCTAATCTGTCATCATTAAAGGGCCCTAATCCGTCATCATTAAAGGGCCCTAATCCGTCATCATTAAAGGGCCGTAATCTGTCATAATTAAAGGGCCCTAATCTGTCATCATTAAAGGGCCCTAATCTGTCATCATTAATGGGCCTAATCTGTCATCATTAAAGGGCCCTAATCTGTCATCATTAAAGGGCCCTAATCTCTCATAATTAAAGGGCCATAATCTGTCATCAAAGGGCCCTAATCTGTCATCATCAAAGGGCCATAATCTGTCATCATTAAAGGGCCCTAATCTGTCATCATTAAAGGCCCCTAATCTGTCATCATTATTGGGCCTAATCTGTCATCACTAAAGGGCCCTAATCTGTCGTCATTGAAGGGCCCTAATCTGTCATCATTAAAGGGCCCTAATTTGTCATCATTAAAGGGCCCTAATCTGTCATCATTAAAGGCCCCTAATCTGTCATCATTAATGGGCCTAATCTGTCATCATTAAAGGGCCCTAATCTGTCATCATTAAAGGCCCCTAATCTGTCATCATTAATGGGCCTAATCTGTCATCACTAAAGGGCCCTAATCTGTCGTCATTGAAGGACCCTAATCTGTCATCATTAAAGGGCCCTAATTTGGCATCATTAAAGGGCCCTAACCTGTCATGATTAAACACGTCATCAAAACATATAAAAGCAAGTAACACATCATGAGTGGTTACAATCTTGACCGTCCAATAACCAGGGTTTTAACGTATGTTTAAAAGTCCTGAGTGTGGTGCTTTTTCTTATATGGACTGGGATCTTGTCCATATAAGAAAGCTGATTGGCCAAAGGAGACTTTTTCTCAGTGGGACGAGAAGATTATTAGAGGCAGCAGATCTGGTGTTTCTGCTGCTCTGCTTATAAAAAACAGATAGTGGGGGTGGAGCCAGGCCATTTAAGATTTTAAAAACCAGAAGACCATCTTGAAATCATCCCAGCTGAGCATCTTATATTTGGCCAAGATGCTGCAGTGGTGGTGCCGGAAAGGTTTCAGATCCAGGACTTTTAACGCCTGTTTGTAGACAGACTGGATAGGCTTCAGGGCAGTCTTGCATCCGGTGACACAGTAGGTTAGATGCATCTCACTGGTAAAGTCTGCATATCTGGCAACCTGAGTCAGGGAGAGTGGGAGA